CACAGCAAATCCGCAGTCATGAAGATCCTTTGCCTGCTCTTTTCTCTCTTCTTCTTGGCACTCCAGGTTTCTCCAGGTAAGATGGAAAGGAGGTGCTAGAAGGGGATTTTTGTGCACCTGAAGTAAAATTCCCAGCACATTTTAACCACTACTTGTTAAAATTGCTAGAAACTGAGCAGGAGGTAGTCAAATAGCTCAGTGCCTGTGCTCCCCTATGAAAACTCTTTCAAAGGTGGAGAAATTATGACTTCTGAAGAAAAGTGACTTTCCACTTCTGGTGTCTTCCTAAAAAAAGATCATGCCAAACACTCTGGTGTTAGACACCTGAGATGGTGCCTGTGGTGGCCATGATCTTTGGATAACAGCACACTCGGCAGTGCGTATGCAGGTGAAAATGAAGCCTGGACAACTATTTTTGGATAGGAGCCCGTATTAAAGCCTCTGGACTCATGACCCTTTTCCATAATGCAAAGGACAATGAGTCACGAGGTCTGTATGATTCTCCACCTGAATTTTAACACCATCCATTTAGATGCACTGTGAGCTAAGGACCCCACCTCTGCAAGGTATAGACATGCATTGTAATCTCACCTCTTACATGGCCTTTCAATACAGCCAAATCTGGGCAACAGTCCATAAAGCAAGTTTGTGGTGAAGGCATCTCAATGAATGGGAAACCCTGCTGGCATTACACTGCATTGCCCTGCCCTGCAGAATGAGAGGGAAGGAAACTTTTTGTTCTTGTTGCAGGTTTGTCTTCACCCCAGCGGGACATGTTTCTCTGCAGAAAAGGGAGCTGTCACTTTGGAAGATGTCCCTTCCATCTGGTTAAAGTTGGAAGTTGCTTTGGGTTCCGCAACTGCTGCAAAGCGTGAGTTTGACATTCACCAAGGCTTATCTGCAGTATGAGCAGACAAATCTATTTTGCCTGTGTCCTTAACCCTGACGTGCTATTGAATGTTGAGATTGCATATAAGCAAAAAAACCTATTATGCCATGAGGACAGTGAAGCGTTGAAGTAGGTTGAGCTCCACAGTGCTCTTTCTCCTGAGATGTGCACCATGATCTGCCCCAGCAAGAAAGATAAAGTACAGCTGGAGATGTCAGCCTTGTGCTGTCCCAGCTCTGTTTGACCCTTTTAGAGCTCCTATGCCAGAGCAAAATATCAGGGTTTGGTATTTGCAGAACTGGGCTGCTGTGTTGTATGGGGAACAGAGGGGAATTCAGTTATGCTGCAGGGTGAACACAGATCTCTGCCATCGAATGCGTGCAAAAATTGCAACAGTGTTGTAAAAAGAAATTAGTATGTGAAAGGCAGCCTTCTATTTTCACTCAGGAATGAATGCATTCACCCTAATATCAAGGGATATCAATTTAATTCCCTGCTTTTCCTGAAGCATTAGGAAAACACTCTCCTTACTCACAGGTATGAGTGCACAGGGCTGTCCCAGCATGACTACAAACGACATTAAGTATTTTGTAAACTATTTATATCCAAGAGGAAAATATGCATGAACTGAGAGTAAGTAGGGAGGGAATACAAGCATAAAGACGATCTGAACTTTTTTTTTTTTTTTTTTTTTTTTTTTTTTTTTTTGTGCAGGCCATGGCAACTATAACAACTTCATGGACTGTCCATTCAAGAGCGATGAAAATTTCTTCTAAACCTAGGAATTTGCTTTGAAACCCCTTACTGCTAAAACCACTGGATCCTGCTGCAAAGCCTCATGCACCTTTCATTTTTAATGCAAAAAGCTTTATGATGTAGAGTAAATCCAAATATATTGTCCATTGCTTTCCCTCCTTTTGAATAAATTGTTGTCGCTTAGCATTCACATCGCTGAAATATGGGTGTCTGTTGCATGGGCTGAGGGCAATGATCCTGCCTGGGTTTTGACACACAAACGTTCAAGGGCAACTATTTACAGTGCCACCTGCTCCTTAATTTGAGCTTTTCTGAGATGTACAGCTGTCCAGGGATAGACAGACATGGACTGAAGACCTTACCCTACAGTACCAAGAGCTAGGCTGGCTGGAAGCACTCAGCTTCCCTTTGCAGCAATGTGTTCAGATGCCAAAATAATTTTTTTTCTTGCTATGCAGAAATCTTTTCTTGGGGAAAGAGAGCTAGAAATAGCTAAAAACCCAGACACACACTATCCATTAAAACGTCAGCATGTGAGACTTAATATTCTGGCTTCTAGAAGACGTCCATGAGCACCCTGGGAAAGATGTAGGCCTATTTTCTTTTTTTTTTAGATAGTGCAACAATTTATGCCAGTTCTTTTCTCTCCAGAAGTTGTTTGTCCTGTAATTTCACAGCAATGGATGTAAGTTTTGGGGTTTTTTCCCACCTGTCCCTCTGGACAGGATGCATAAAAGATAACAGATGGAGAACATCTTACACTGGCCTCTCTTCATTAGCTCCTCTCCCACTCCCTCCATATGGCACACTCCCTTCAGTTCTCCATTGGGATACACACATTTCTGAAATGTTGTTCAGGAGGGGATTTTGTTTGCCTGACAAAAGTGCAGGATTTATATGTCCTATGACTATTTCTTTGCACTCACAAACTTACACTCGCATGTCCCATCCTGCTTCCAATCTCCGTGGCATGATTTCCTATACTTAAGTTATAGAGATAGTTAATATAACTCAAAGTTTTGGAAAATGGGTGTTTGGAGGAATGTATGCCTGGACAAGTTTTAGACCCTCTGCCTGGTGCTAGCTGACAGTCTGGCCCTGTCGTGCAGTGAGATAGTTGGCAGGGCTTGCTCACACATCAAAGGGGCTGAGAGGGTACTGTTGTCCCCCAGAGGGAACATATCTAGAGGAGGCATCCAACATGGCCATGCATTCAGGCAAAATCTCATGCTTCAGGCCTCTCCTCAGTGCATTTACAGCAGCTAGATTATGTCTACCCTCAAAAAGCAGTTCAAAACCGATTTAGAAAAATGCCTCTGAGTGTTTATTTCTTTTTTTTTTTTTCTCTTTGATGTAGGCTGTAGACTTGCTCTCTATCTGACACTGCTAAGAAAAAAGCAAAGAGAATGCATAGGAGCCTTATGGTTGAAAGCAAGTCCAGCACTGTTTATTAAGAGGGGAAAAAAAGACAGCAGAACAGACACAAAGCAGTGAAAATCTGTGCCTAGAAAACATCAGGCTGTTTTTAGTTGTCATCATGACAGAAGTCATAAGTTTTGCTGAGAAATGCAAGTGTACAAAAGAATTAGCTTACAAAGAACACAGTTGTTGACTATTCCTGAACCAGCAGATAAGCAGGATGATTATATTATATTCACTTTTAGCCCAAATACATTATGAAAATGCAACATCTAATGTGCAGTTCCTTGTGGGATTTCCTACACTAAACAGTGTTCAATGGTGTTAATGAACTATACAGAAAAGGGCCTTAGAAGATCTCATTTATGACATTTAAAATTACAGATTTTAATTTTTGCAGTCCTGTAATAGACAGGACTTGCAAGAGATCTTGACTCTTCCACAACAGCACACGGAGACCAGGCAGAATATTACACAGCTCTAGAAATGGCACTACTGCCAATGTTCAAGGAACTGAAGCCGTCCTCACCTGTCTTTTGGTTCTCCTGACTCTACTGACTGTGATGGGAGTCTAGCTACCACTGCATCTGTAGTAATCCAAATTAAGTCAGAGGAACTGAATCCCCCCAAATGTGTTGCATGCAGCAGATATTGTGGAAGATATGGTATACATACTTCACAGGTCACATAATATTTGGTACTGAAATATTTCTTCTTGTCTCAGCCCCTCTCTTACCACTTGCAGTTCTGCCTGAACTTGTCCAAATGCTTAATTTTCCCTTGAGTGGCACCGCTTGGCAATGTGACCTTTTATGGTTATGTCTGGGAATGAAGTGCACACTGTGGAAGGGAAGGAGAGGAAACATCGTTATTTCTCAACAGGGCAGGAGTCAATGGGTAGCTGGCCACCAACTGTTGAGGCTTCTCTACAATTCAAAAGCTGAAATGTCTTGCTCATGCTTTCCAAGCCTTGATCTTTACCTTGGCAAAAATTATGGCCTCAATATAGAGGGTATTGCTTGCTGTGAATGGCCAAATGTCACCCCTGTCTTGATCCTTAATGCCCCATCCCACCATGCAGAGGGGAGGGACCTCCCTTGCCCTCATCAGCACTTGGGCTATCCCATGGGCAACCCCCAAGGAGACCTTTGTAGACCTTAGAGGGAAATAGATCTCCCAGGCTGGCTGTCCAGCTCCCCCGCAAGGTGACATCTCAAAGGTGTCCCATGGATCAGATAGGTAGTCCTGCAGGGAGTGAGCAGGGTGTCTTCTTTCCACCCATCTGGAGACAACCTGAGGCTAGACTGGCTGCTCTCTGCCAACGGGCTGACCTCACCCTTTCTACAAAATGCCTCCATGACTGTGATCCACCTGTGGGTAAATACGTGTGCATATCCATGATCATGTGTGTTCATAAGAAGTGACTCTGGTTGTTCTGGTGAAGACTTCTCTTTTGAAGAAGGCCATCCTCAGCCATTGCCAACTTTCCAGTTGGGTATGCAATACCTGGCAGAGATGCTAGGCTTCTGTTTGTTGGCATTTGCTTCCATCACATTTGACTGAGTAACTTAATGCAGCTCTCACTTGCTATGAAGATGGCTCTATGGTGACTTTTTATTTTTCCAAAACACACCAGATGAAAAGCATTTGCAATTTTGTCTGCAGGGAGAATGCTTGGCAGCAGAACTCTACCCAGTGATGGAGTTATGGAGCAGAAGGCTCAGAAGAGGTTTTCATTTTCTGCCTTACTCAAAAACCAGACTCATGCATGTCATCAAGAAGTACAGCACAGAGATACAGTTACTTCCCATCTTGATAAAGCTGAATGTCCCTCCTAGGGAAAGCCCCAAGCCATGGGACCCCTGAGTCCAGGGGCCACCTCCCAGGAGACATACAGGGAATGTCCTGTGCTCACCTCACCCCTTTCAGAGGTTTAGCTCTCTGTTTTCAAAGCCATGATTCACATGGAGCTGCTACGTGGCCTTGAGTAACAGTGCTGCATGAGAAAGAGCTGTGATAAGCAGGACTGTCCCAAACACCAGTTAAGAGCCACTTTTAAGCTCAATTTCTTTTCTCTGGCCCTTGATTGAGCTATTTGCCAGCTTTGATCCCGGCTGTACACCTTGCTGACCTGCCTTCCTGGTTTAAACCTGGAGCTGCCTTGTTGCTCTGAAGCCAGACTTCCCTGGTGGAACAGTCTCACTGCTCCCTGACAAGTATTTTGGTCACATGCAGACCTGAGCACAGACAAACACACATGTTCACTGGCAGCTGCAGCACAGCTTTGCATGTTGGTTTGTAGGAGGGCTGAGGTTAGTGCCTGAGAGCAGAGAGCAACAGGGCTGGTCTCATATGGTCTCCAGACAGGAAAAGAGGAGGAGACATCCTGTTTCCTCCCTGGACATTGGGAAATTTTAAGATATAGGTTACCCTCAGCAAGCTTGCAGGTGACACCAAGATGGGAGGAGTGGCTGAAACACCAGGGGGTTGTTTCCACCCAGAGAGACTTTGACAGGCTGGGGAAATGAGCTGACAGGAACCTCATGAGGTTCAACATGGAGAAGTGCAATGTCCTGCACCTGGGGAGGAACAACCGCACACCAATATATGCTGGGGGCCACCCAGCTGAAAAGCAGCTTTGCAAGAAAGGACCTGGGGATCCTGATGGACACCGGGCTGAGCGTAAGCCATCATGGGCCCTTGTGGCAAAGAAGGCTATCCTGAAGGTATCCTGGGCTGCATTAGACCAAGTATTGCCAGCAGGATGAGGGACGTGATCTTTCTCCTCTACTCAGTGCTCATGAGGCCACACCTGGAGTACTGTGTCCAGTTCTGGGCTCCCCAGTCTAAAACAGACATGGACATACCTGGAGAGAGTCCAATGAAGGGTGCCCAAGATGGTGAAGGGACTGGAGCTTCTCTCCTATGAGGAAAGGCTGAGAGAGCTGGGACTGTTCAGCCTGGAGAAAGCTCAGGGCGGAATCTTATTAATGTGTATAAATACCTGAAGGGAGGGTGCAAAGAAGTCTCTTTTCAGTGGTGTCCAGTGCCAGGACCAGAGGCCATGGGCACACACTGAAACACAGGAGGTTCCCTCTGAATATCAGGAAAACTTTTTTTACTGTGAGGGTGATCAGGCACTGGCACAGATTGCCCAGGGAAATTGTAGAGTCTCCATCCTTGCAGGTATTTAAAAGCCACCTGGGCACAGTCCTCAGCAACCAGCTCTGGGTGGCCAACTTGCGCAGTGAGGTCAGACCAGACGACCTGCAGAGGTCCCTTCCAGCCTCAACCAGTCTGTGATTCTGTGGTTCTGTGAAACAACATGTCTTTATTGAAGCTGGGAAAAGCAGCCTCTGCCCAGATGACACCAGGCCTGTGACAGGATGCCTCCAGCCCAATAGAACCCAGCAGGAGCAGTGCTTGAGCAGTGCTTCCAATCCCACTGTCACACCACCTGGGCACGGCAGAGGCAGGGTGGGGAGAGGACATCAGGAGCCAATTCCAGGAGCCAGAAGTGAGGTGCATATCCTGATCGGAAAGTTCAGGGGTTCATCATCATTTGCTGCATAAACAAAGCACAATATGTGGTCACCGATATTTCCTTCTTATGTTCCTTCTTTGTCTTCCTCCACCATCTCTGCCACTTCTCCTATTATAACGACCTGTAGGGAATTACTGGACGACCCTTCCTCAGATAAACTCCAGTTCTTATTGCAGGAGACTTGGACCTATGCTTTCCTTAGTGGTTACAGCCTTGAACACAAGGCTCTTCAGAAACCTCAAGGAGGTGGTCCTGTGCCCCACACTACACAAAGATCAAACTTCACTTTCCAACAGCATGGGAAAGTCTTCATGAAAGCCCCCAGTCTGGTCTCATGGGGCTGAGGGGGACTGGGAAGATGCTGGCTGAATTTGGGCTTCTTCAGCCCCACACAGGGCAGGTGCAAGCAGCTTTACCAAGGGACTTTAACCCTCATTCCCTGGCCTCTGCCTCTCAACATGGATGCAGGAGGGTGTTATCCAGCAGTGTGGATGTAAAGAGAACAACAGATCTATTTCAGCCAAGAATGCAGAGGGTCAATTCCTGAATGTTTGGCTTTAGAATTTACCTTTTGCAGCAAACCGCAAATGCTGAACACCTTCCAAACATGGAATAAGGGTGATAGCATGTCAAAAAACTACAGAATCCCCCTTCTTGCTTACATTCACTTTCATTCCCTGGAGCCAGAGATGCACCTGTACAGAGAAACAATTGAAAGTAAAAGATAATTTAGGAGAATATTCTGTAATTCCAGAAGGGCTGGCACTCCACTAAGATTTCAACCCACTTTGTGGGCCAAGTATTAAAATGACCATAATTGCACCTTCAATAGCAAATTAACTACCTAGAAGGACTATCAGCTAAAGCCCTGAGGCACAGGTATCCCTGGCCATTTGTGGTACAAAGGGATATTTTCCATCCTCCCACTGTCCCTGCAGAAGGAGCAGCTCTTCCATTAAGCCTTAGCTAGCTCATCCAGCCTGGGGTAGACAGTTTTGATATCTTAGAATCACAAATATCTAGGTGTCCTCAAAAGGCGCTAAGTATCTGTGATTAGACAACAGACTTCCCCATCCACTTTTTGGGTGAGCAGGGTAGGTTGCATAGGCTGAGACTTCAGCGACTGCAATGGGAGCTCATCCAGAGACACCCCCTACCGCCCCCCACTTCCCCCACCCCACCCCCAGCAGCAGCTAGATGCCCAGGGTGGAGCCCAGAGCACAGTCCCACCCTAACCCACAGAAGGAGCCAAGGTCTTATTCCTGGATGGTTCTTTCCACACCAGCCCCTCTACTTTCAGAGGAAGGAGCATTGTGAGAGCATCCTTTGTTATATCCCATTGCATGACTTTCATGCTGGAGCAAAGACCCAAAACAGTTCCCTCCTTTGAGCATCTCTAAAAAATGTGGTCAATTCCTGGGACATCAAAGACCCCATTGATGGGGGTTCAAACCTCACCCATCTCCCCTCTTCCCCTCTCACCTCCAGCACCCTGGACCAACATGAGGAAGAAGGGGAAGAGCAGGTACAGGATCTTCATGGCTGATACCTGGCCCAGGTCTTCACAGGGCTGCAGAGGGGAGACACCAAGGCAACAAGGGCATGGGGGACACCAGGCAGTGTAGAAGCCTGGGCACTGTGGTGTACCGAAGTGCAGATGTATTATCCTGAACAAAAGAAGATGGTGTTGTCTGTAGCCTATTCACAAGAACAGCAGTTTGTATACAACTTCATGAATAGCCTGCGAATAGTTCAGGAAGTTTCAGGTAAGGCAGTATCTAAACACATTTTTTTCTGTCATCTTCCTTATGCTTTCTCCCAAGCACAGACTGTAGATCTTGTGTCTGGTGATTCATGCTGTTTTAAGTAAAAAACCAGCTGGTGCTATTTAGAGAATGCAGTCAGAAAATTTACCTTTGGAAGTACCTTGGGCCTTATGCACAGCACACTTGTCTCTAAAACAGACGTAAATATGTTTGGACTGGATGATCTTAAAGGTCTTTTCCAACCTAAATGATTCCAGGATTCCATGATTCTATGTTTCTAGGGAGACAGAATCAAAGCGATAGACTAGGTATGCTTTCGAGTATGGTCATGAGATAAGGGTTATGCCTAGTGCCTGTGCTCTCTTGCTTCTGCATCTCCTTACCAAAGGCCAAAATAGAGAAGGTTTGCATGATTCAGAGATGCTTGTGCCAATGCTGAAGACAAAAGCAATAGTAAAGCTGCAATCACGAAATTATTCTGTGCAGCAGCTCCCCAGTTAGGAGAAAGAGGGGAGATAGGTGTCTCAGTGGCCAAAGAGATCAGGAAAACACAACCTTTCAAGTTAACTGAAGGCTGAAAGAATGGAAATTCTCTGTACTGCTGCATGTAAAGTGGCTCCTCCCTTTAAGTTATAGACTTCCCATTTCCCCAGAATATAAGATCCTGGTGTCTCTCTTCAAACACCACAGAAATTTCCCAGTTTCTCCTGTGCTGGGGAAACCCTGGATCCAGCTTCAGCAAATTCCAAGCTCTAACAGGAAGGAATTAATATTTTCAATTTACTTTTTTCCCTATAAAGCTCAGAAGGTGTCATTATGTGAACAGATATATCCAACAGTTTGTCATTTAGACAGTTCCACCATGATGGAACTTGAACAGAGAGACTGAATGGGTGGCCAGCCTGCAAGAGACCCCATAGTTACTTGCCTGATGAGGGAATGTCTTGGTCTTCAGGCGGCGACAAACGCACCAGGAACCACTTGTGTCCAGATGCCCTTGGGGTTAGGGAATACCACTTTGCCCAAAACACCCTGGGTTTATATCACTGCTGGTGGGTGAGACGTGCTTATTCCCATGGCCACATCTCCCCACGGCCAATCAGAAAGTGACCCATCTGCATGGGGATGGTGGGGTTGCACCTCGTCCCTCCCTGCTGCAGTGGGAGGGGCTGAGGTGCCTCCTGGGGGCTGTTGCAATCTTCACCGTTATCCTCATGCAACACGTCTTGTGTCATCCTACTGCACAGCGGGCACATGGGCTGTGGTGGCTTCACACGAACTGCCTGGACTTTGCCTGGTACAGACAGCAGCAACCAGTCTCAAAAAAAGCAGATAAGGTTTCCCTCCTTGTCTCCTCCAATCCGACAAAATAATTGGCTAGCGTGGAACGTGCAAGAACATGAGGAGTGTTATAAACCTTCTTACCTTTCAACATTATAAGAAGGGCTTTATCTCTGTTTTTATTTGAAGTGTCACCAGATGTTTTGAATATAACATATTGATTGCTGCATGCATTTATGAGCTGATGTTCAAATGCACACATACATCATCTCTAGTTCGCTGCTTCCATGTAAGTCATGTCATATTATGGGTAACGGAAAATATAATTTATCCATTGATCTTTTTCTTGCTGTTTCTCCTCTATCTCTACTATATGAAACTCATGGGGTGACTTTCCAAAATACCATCAGCCTTGCCCAAGATGTTCTGGCCAAACGGGCCCATGGGTCAGTGGGACAGCTTCATGCTGATGAGATAAAGGGCATTCATGGTGACTGCTAAATGTTCAGTTAAACGATAGATGAATGAACATGAGGGAAACGAGCCTGGAAAGTCAGTGGGAACCTGCTGTGCTGGGTACAGGACCTGGACGGCAGGCTGGGAGCTGTTGGTGGGCAGAAAGACCCTGTGCGGTGGTGCAGCACCCCCAGCCCGGGCCACTCGGAGATCCCGGGATAAGCCCTATCGTGCTGTTACCGTGCTCACAAATGCAGCAACTGGGCGTCAGGCAGTCCCTGTCCACACCTGGGCTATCAGCTGCCTGAGTGGTGTACCAGAACGACTACGCAGGACAGAATGACTCAGCATGAACTGTGGCCAGAATGTAAAATACTGACCAAAGTCAATCATCTCGAGATGCTATAAATAGCGATCCAAAAGGGACACCTTTTGAGCTCTCCAGGACTGCAGCGGGCTGGGTGACCCAGCATCTCCCCCTGAGCTGGGGTGCCTCTCAGGGCAGATTTCGTGAGGATTGAAGGATCGTCCGTCGACGATTTTGTGAGGGCTCAAAGGCCTGATTTCATGAGATTCACCGACCATCCATTGATGAATGCCAGCACACAAAAGTGAGTAATTCATGAAACTCATTAAAAGGGTAATTTTAATCACAGGTTAACCTCGGGGATGTGTGTGTGTGTGTGTGCAATTTGACTCAGAACTGTTTGTCTGTCTGTGTGTGCATGCGATTTGATTTAGAGCTGTTTGCCGGTCTGTCTGTGTGTGATTTGATTTAAACCCCATCTGTGTGCTTGCAACCCTGCTGTAAGTTTCCGGTGACCCTTGCCATTCTCGAACCTTTAACTAAGTCGCTATTTTGATTGTAACAAATTCCATCAAATTGCTGTATTAAATTGGCTGGTGCTTAAGCGCTGTTAAGAATTATACAACCTAATTCTGTGATCTATCTGAAATATGCTAATAAATCCCAAATTACTGCTAAACCAAAGCCATGTAAAAAAGCATACTGGCGACACCCTAGCTCATGTGGACACAGCTCTTGGGGTTGTAGAGATACCCACCCACTCCTACAACCCTCCCAATTTATGTCATAGGAGACTGGGCTACTCGGAATCCAGCAGGGACCTTCAGCTTCAGGACCAGGACCTGGGAGCAAATGCAGGCGTCAGCCCCGTGGCTCTGGGAAGGGCTGCACACCCAGCGGGGAAGCAGAAGCTGGGGAAGTCGGGGATGGAGTGCTGAGGGTGATCTGCCTCCTTGGGATGGAAAGGATTCAGTAAAACGGCCAGGGTCACTAGTTGCTGACATATTCAGGCGTGCAAGGACATACACGTGTATTTAAATATACAGGGCAGAGGTCTGCGCTTGCAGAAAGGTTGTGCCAGTGATGGCTGCTGACGGAGAACAGCGTTGTAATCCCAGTTTATCTGAGGCAGGCAGAGAGAAGAAGACACCCTGCTTTCTCCCTGCTGGACTATACTTCTGCACACTTCCAGGTTGTGGGCCATGGGACCCATTGGAGAGGTCACCTTGAGGAGGAGCTGGACAGCCAGTCTGGGAGACCTACTTCCCTCCAAGGCCTTGTCAAGGTCTCCTTGGAGGCTGTCTGTGGGATCAGGCCACGCTGGGAGGGGTGTGGCAGGGACAGGCTGTGGGGCTGGCAGCAGGGAGGGAGCTGAGCAGGGACTGCTCTGTAATGGTCGGCCCCACTGCAGATCAGGGAGATGGAGGTCCCATCCCAGTGTGTGGTGGGACCTCTGGGGCCTCTCGCATGGGTCAGGTGGGCAGCCCTGGCCATGCCCACCAAGGGACACACCACGCAGCACAGCCCCGAGCATGAAGCTGTGGCTGCCAGGGACAAGGGAAACCCGTGATGAACAGCACCAGGACAGGGCTCCTGCTTCCCGGGAGGGAGCATCCGCAGAGCAGCTCCATCACGCCCACAGCAAACACCCTGGCCTGGCAGGGACTGACAGGCTCGGTATCCCCACATGGCTGCCAAGCAAGAGCATCCCCAGGGACAGATGCAGTGGTGAACCCCAGCATCCCCAGGCGCTTCTCCTGCCACCAGCCCACCACCACCCCCAGACCGAGCAGGCACGGCACACCCTCTGTCGCAAGGAAACAGCCACACATCCCACCTGCTGCAATGCCAAACTGATTATCTTTATTCAAGCCGGGAAAAGCAGCCTCTGCCTAAACACCACCAGGCCCGTGACGGGATGCCTGCAGCCCACAAGCGCCCGGGCACCCAGCAGGAGCAGCACTTCCACTCCTGCCATCACACCACCTGGGGATGGCAGAGGCAGGGCAGGGAGAGGACATCAGGAGATGGTTCCAGGAGCCAGAAGCGAGGGGGACATCCTGCCCACAGATTTTAGGCTCTCAGCCCCAGACACTGTACAAGGAAAGCAGACAAGCACGTCACCTGTTGTAACTTACTTTTCCCTTCCTTCCACTCTCTCCTACCTCCCCTGTGATGACAAGCAAGTCTATGGTGCAAGGGAATCAGGCTCAGTGGAGGTGAGGTTCAGTCCTTATTGCAGACAGTTTGGACCCGTGTTTTAGTGTTGGCAGCCCAGACCCCAAGTCTATGCAGATACAGCAAAACCAGGATCATGTCCTCGATGCTGTCCAAGGACAGTGAATGCTTCACTCTTTGCTAGCTTGGGAGAGCCCTCTGCAAAGCTTCAATGAATCTCACGGGACTGAAGGAGAGCGGGGAGGTGCTGGCTGACCTTAGGCTCCTTCAGCCCTACAGCAGGCAGGTCCAAACCCACAAGGGCTTTTCCCTTCCTTATTGGACTTCCCCCACCAAGCATAAAGGCAGGACAGTACTTGCCAGGCATTGGCTAGAAAGAAATTTTTAACAGATATTTCTGTGGACAGAGGAGGAAATTCTTTCCTCAGCCAGGAATCTAGACCTTACCTTTTGCAGCAATACTGAAAATGCGAACATCTTCCAATAGGTACTGAAGGGTACCTGCATCTCTGATAAGTGCAGAATCCCCTCCTTTGTACGCATAGTAATGGGTTTCCTGTTTCCATGGGGAATGACACACACAAAACAATTAAAGTGATAATCTGGTATAGCAGAGTGTGGTTGCAGAAAGGCTGACGCTCCCCATGCATTTCAGGCCCATATACGCACTCATCTTCAACCTCACCATAGCTACATCTTCCATAGCAACGTGTCTCACCTAGAAGGACACTTTCACTCTCAGGTGGGTGCACACAAGAACAGACAGTGGGAAGGACTAGCATGAGGTCAAGGAAGAGCCGTGCTGTCTCCCCAGCTGCATGTCCATCACTGCCTGGACCAGCAGAGCTGGCAAGCAGGGCTCTCCTCGTATCTCACGTCCCTGTCCTGGCTGCACCCTGCCTTTGAGTGACCTCTGATGGAAAATCCCTGCCCAGCCCTTGCAGGCATCATGCCTTGGGGTAATGAGGTTTTGGGACACTCACCCAAGACACCACTAGATGAGAAGGGACAGCTTTGTGCCCCCGGTAACCCACCAAGCCAATAACCCCCTGAGGCTCGCTTCCAACCCTGCACAGGGCAAAAGATCATCCAGAGACACCCAAAGCGGAACAGCTGGGTGCAGGTTTGGACCCTGAAACCAAACACCTTCCTGAGCCACAGAAGAAGCCAGACTTCTATTTCCAAGGGCTCTCTCCACCCCCAGTCCATGTCCTCTTGGAAGGGCACTCAGAAAATGCCTTTTCCTCAATCCCTGCTAACCTTTGCATCACTCCAACTAATGTGGTCACTTTGCAGGACATGCAAAGTCCCACTGATGGGGGCTCACACCTTACCCATCTCCCCTCTTTCCCTCTCACCTGCAGTGCCCTGGATCAACAGGAGGAAGAAGGGGAAGAGCAGGTAGAGGATCTTCATGGTTGCCGCCTGTCCCTGGTCTTCACGGGGCTGCAGAGGGGGACACCAAGGCAGTAAGGACATGGAGGACCCCAGGTAGTGCAGAAGCCTGGGCACTGTGGCATACCAAACTGCAGAGGGGCTACCTCCAACTAATGCAGATGATGCTTCCTCTACCTCTTAAGAACAATTCTTAGGTCTGTACCACCCTGCGTATCATGGGAGCATTTCATGGTGCCTCAGTCTCTTGGAAACCAATCGCCTCAGCGGATGCTTTTCCATTAACTTTCTCAAAGGTCTTCCACAGACCTTCCCCAAAGCATAGACTGCAGACCTTGGGGTTTGCCGATTCAATGAAAACAGCATCCGGTGAAATTTGGAAAAGGCAGATATAAAATTGCCATGGGAAGTTACGGGACTAATGAACTTTTACTCCCTCATGCTTCATTTATCAAACACTTTTCTCATTACCAAAATACATATATATTCCCTGATTGCTGGAAAGACCCAAATCTCCAGGGTTCTCTGAAGGTGCTAAATGCCTATGGCCTGAAACAGTCTGTCTCTAGGGTTGTCCCCAATCAAGGAATGAAACATGACGTGATTTCAGGCAGATCAGACTTACTGCTTGTGACTTTCCTCTCTCATTTCTACCTCTCCTTAACCAAGGGCCAGAGCAGAGAACGTTTGCACATCAGAAAATGCTTGTGCCAACACCCAGTGCCATGCCCATAGTCAGACTACAGGAAAGAAAGGATCTGGGCTCTTGCATTTAGGGAAATGCATGTGCCTGGAGATGCCATGCTATATGAAGGGTCAGCTGGAGCTCTCCACCACCTCAGCCAGTCTGAAGCTGGATGCCCAAACCACCCTGCCCAATCACCTCTGCTTCCCTGGGCCCAGGAAAGTCCTCCCAGCCTGGCTTAGGAGGGCCCATCCTCAACTCAAGACCATTCCCAGGCTTCCCAGCAAAGACACTGGTGAAGGGTCTGGAGCACAGGCCTTATGAGGAACGGCTGAGGGAACTGGGGTTGTTTAGGCTGGAGAAGAGGAGGCTGAGGGGAGACCTTATCGCTCTCTACAACTACCTGAAAGGAGGTTGTAGTGAGGTGGGTGTTGGTCTCTTCTCCAAGTAGTTAGTGATAGGACGAGAGGAAATGGGCTTAAGCTGCGCCAGGGGAGGTTTAGGTTGGATATTAGGAAAAATTTCTTCACGGAAAGGGTAGTCAAGCATTGGAACGGGCTGCCCAGAGAGGTGGTGGAGTCACCATCCCTGGAAGTGTTCAAAAAACTGGTAGATGTGGCACTTCGGGACATGGTTTAGTCTAGTCTACCCTTGATTGGTTTAGTGTGGACTTGGTAGTGTAGGATAATGGTTGGACTGGATGATCTTAAAGGTCTTTTCCAACCTAAACGATTCTGTGATTCTATTCTATGACACTCCCCAGCCCCACACTTGCTGCCCCTGCCCCATACAGTACCAACCCAGGGAGAAGCAAGAGGGAAGTGTCTCGGTGGCCAGAAATGGAAACACTAATCAACCTTTTGAGTTAACTGAAAGCCTGAAAGGACAGAAAATCTCTGTACTGCTGTGGGAAAAGTATCTCCATACTTTGCTGAGGAAAGTCCCCATTCCCCCAGAACAGAACATCTCAGGCTCCCTCCTCCAGCATCAAGGCACCTTTTTAGTCTCTCCTGTAGTTAGGAAACCTTAGTTCCAGTTTCCACATGTTCTGGGCTCTTAGATTCGTGTGAAGGTTTTTATTCTCTTTCCTAGGCATCTCTGGTGGCCTAATTATATACATGGATACTTCCAGCGGTTTGTCATTTAGATGAGTCTAGGGTGATAGGACTTGAGCAGAGAAGCTGAATGGGAAGTCTTCCAGAAAGAGACCCAGCAATTACCTACCTGATGAAGGTCTTGGTGTTCAGGCAGTAACAAACCCAGCAGGAATGGTGTCCAGATGCCCTTGGGTCCAAGGAGTACCGTTTTGGCCAAAACACCCTGGGTTTATACCATTGCTGGTGGGTGGGACATGTGCTTATTATTGCTTACACATCTCCCCTTGGCCAATCAGAAAGTAACCCATCTGCATGTGGATGCCGAGGTTGCACCTTATCCCTCTCTGATGCAGTGGGAGAGGCTGAGGTGCCTCCTGGGGGCTGTTGCAATCTTCACCGTTATCCTCATGCAACATGTCTTGTGTCATCCTGCTGCACAGCGGGCACATGGGCTGTGGTGGCTTGACACAAACTGACTGGGATGGACAAAGCAGACTGGTTGGTGTAGACGACAGCAGCAACCAGTCCCATAAAAAGATAAAATATATGTCTCTTCCTTTCCTCTCAGTTTACTTAGTAAGCAGGTAGTGTGTGACATGAAGAATCATGCATTTTAATTTTCTCCTTTTTTAACAATACAAGAACAGCTTCATCCTTGCCAAGGTGATTTTCATTTGACATGCCAGGAAGTAACAAGTGTAAGGCTACCTTTCTGATGGCTACTCAGATAAACAAACAATGAACAGAGGAAAAATGATGAGTTTTGACCACAGCTCACCTAATTCCATCTGAATTCACTGCTCCTAAAACTGTCATTCCTGGTACAAAACCCACAAATGCGGTTCAATAGAAAAAATCTGTGTGTAAAGGTACGCAAACTAAGGAAGACTGTTGAATGAAGGTGAATAGGACTTATTAGGCCTTGGAGATGTGAGCTTGATCAAGAGTTCGTGGATTTATAGGAATTATGTGATGCTTCAGAAAAGTAAAGATCAAGGTGGGTCATGGAGGAGCAGGTCATGAGAAACAGAGAGAAGCAAGGGATGAAATGGGCCAAGCTCATGTAAGCAGGCTGCTGGTCAATATGCTTCTCTGGCCATGCCCTACATCTGATCACCATAATCTGTCCTATATGGCTAGTAAACTTTATTTCTAACTATTTTTTGTACAGTCTATGGTGTGTCTGCATGGTTGTGCAGTCCTCTAGCAAACTTCAACCCAGAGTACTGGGAATGGGAGAAAGTACCAACAGTGCTGGTGCATTGCCCATAGAGAATCTGGGAATTGGGTCCTGGAGAGAATGACGGGTCTCTAGGTTGGATACATTAGAGACAAAGGGTCTGGTGCCATCTATCAGAGAGACACGTGATGGGAATATTCTGCAAGCAGCAATCCATAGAAGTGTGGTGGGTGTCCGTGGTGGTGTCTTTGTGGATGTAAGGGTCCTGGGAGCATCTTCACTCCTGGAGGTTTAGCACTAGGCTCCGGACCAGTCCAGGGCCAGCACAACCAAGGGCTGCTGATTATGGTGTGGAGAGGGCTTCTAGCCCACAGTGCAGCCAGGCCACAGCTGGGCCGAACCCCTGCCCAGGAGAGCTGCTTTGAGGTGAGGATCTTGTGCTAGACCCCACCAGAACTGCACCTTGGCCCTGCTGATCAAGGCCTGGTCCTTGACCCACAGCTAACATCCCTTGCTGGCTTTGGCCCATGCCCACAGAAGTGCCCAGTGCCCCAAGATGAGGCTGCTGCCAGCCCCCCTGGCCTGCACTGCTCCCTGGCTGGGGGCAGTGGCATGACCCCTGTCCTGCCAGCCCCCATGGTGACTGCCCCATGGCAGTGCAGGAGCCACCCCCATGCTCCCCTTGAGCTAAGCATCATTGATCTGCTCCAAGGCTCGCCCACAATGCTGACCCACAGCCTGGCCCTGGGCTCCTAACTGACCCCCCCCCCCTCCATCCCAGACCCAGATCTTGAACCCCGAGCCCCCAGCCCTGACCCCCAACTCAGTCCCAAGCTCCTGAGTGGCTTCCTGGCACAGCCATCACTCCCTATTTTCTCAGGGGCAGAATGGCTTCCCCCATCCCCCAGCTACCCCTGAACCCCACAACACCTCCCTGGTGCCACGGACACAGGCCCCACCGCTGGGGACGGACCCAAGGCCACCAGAGTGGCATGTTCTGTCAAACAGCCCCATGGGGACTCCTGACCCAGCTGGGACCCACTGGACAACCGGCAGGCACCCACTGAAGTTAGGTGGCACATAGCAACCCGCCATGCCTGACCCTGGATGTTAGGTGCAGGGATGCCCTTGCTGAGAGGCAAGGCTGGTGTTGGGGTCCCTGTGGGTCCCACACACACAGTGGGGAGGCTGCTGCTGTGTCTTGGAGCCAACTTGGAGAGAGGGTAGGTGAGGGTGGGGTGTGCGTGTGTTTGGGCCTATCGGGAATTCACCTGGTCTTCTCTGCCCTTCCCTGCACCCAGAGAAAAGGGAGGCATGCCCACACATCACTCCCTGAGGACACACACACACCTCGGCAGCGGGAATGCAAACCACCACCTTGTATTGGAGGCATTGGGGTAAGGGATTCCAGCGGGACCATGGTCCAGCTCTCCAGGGTTGACGCCGTTCCTGGTGGTGCTTGATGTCTCCACGCAGCATAACCCCAACCGTGCTGCGAGGACGTGGGCTGGTCTCAGAACGCTGCTTGGAGATTGGCACCAGGGACCCAGGAGCCCATCAGGGATACCACCGGCTGTAGGAGGAAAGGTCTGGCAGTGCCTGTCCGAACCAGGGCAGCAGTGAGGGCTCAGGGATGTCCCTATGCCCTTGGGCTGCGTATTCCCCCCTCTTTCTCCAACAGCCTCACCTCTAACCCCAACAGGCAGCAACCTCAGCCCTTCGGGCACCCCTCAGCCTACCTCCGGCAGCAGAAGTCTTGCTCAGAGCAAATGCCAACACGACTGATCCCCGGAGGACACGATCCATGAGAGCAGAAACCCCCACGGCGCTCACAGTCCTGGGGTGATCCTCGAGCGAGGGACAGCCCTGCAGAGCGCAGAAAGAGGAGACCTTCAGCATGGCCCTGCTGAGGTGCTGAGTGCAGCCCCTGGTCCCTGTATGGCCAACATTAGCCCACCCCTGACTGTCCCCTGCCATGAACGCCCGGGCAGGCACCTGCAGCAGAAATCAAGGTGATATTTATGGCACTTGAACGGGAGACACTCACTACTGTCCCTCA